ACATGGACATCAGGGGATTCCAATACCTCCACAGGGTGGAGTTTCTACTACACACCTCTGTGTGTGGATACAGCTAGGCGGAAATTTTTGGCTGGAAATTTTATTAATGAAAAAGGCAATTTGGGCTGTATCTTAGATTCAAGTAATTACTGAAAATACCATGGTTAAAAAACCCTAGACTTAGAATTCCCTTCAGTTCACTGTGGCAGTACTCATTGGAGGGCAAGTAAAACCAAACAGAGTAGTAGCCAGAAAATTCTGAGCAAACAGGATGTCAGCACAGATCTACTGCCTATTGTGCATTAGGGTCAGCTATTTGCAGATGGTTTGACTTTGAGAAATCAGCACCCTTGACTGACAGCTGTGCATCTGCCAGCTCCATTCTAGATTGGAGGTTTTAAAGCAAAAAAGGATGACCTTTTAATAGGTATGGGGAATTCAAAAAATACAGGTAAGGTTGGAGGAGTCATCCATTTTTGTCAATTACAAAATATTTTTTCCTCTTTTTTTTTTTAGCTCTTCCATTTGAATAAAACAAATCATTTTTTAAGCTTACTATTTCACTATTTTTTAAACACGATGAGGTCTATATGCTGGAAGTGTAGAAGAAAAAGTAGAACTGATAATGAATTGCTGTCAAGTCCTTAAAAAAAAAACAACAACAAAAAACAAAAAAAAACAAGGATTAGCAACATGCACCAATACCCAGAAGCCTACTGCATTTTACTTGATGATAGCAGTAGTTCTTTTAGCAGAGAATTCCCATGTAAAACAAGGATGGATACAGTTTTGAAATATAGAAATTTCTCAGCAGAAGTTCACTTAGGTGCAAACTCAAAAACCTTCACCTCCTTTCTGATCCTTAATAGCAGATCTGTAATGAAAATTCCTATTACCAAGATAACATTGTTTTTATAACTATTTTGACTTGTAGACTGAAATATCAGCTAACTGAACCAGAACTGTATTTAATGGAGTATATTTGTGAAAGGGCTTTTTCGTTTTAGAAGAGTGTTTGCAAAGTAAGCAAACTGGGGAAGTCCAAAAGGAAGGTCTCAATTAGTGAAGCAGTCAGGTTCTCTTGTGCTTGGGATGCCTTCCTCAGGGCCAGCCCAGAATGGAGGAAGTTAGCGCTCAGGTACTGGTTTGTCACTCCAACACTTCTCTCAGTGTTAGAACACCTTACTTTGCAGTTTCCTTACCTCTTTCTTTACTAAAAAGGATGACCTTCCACTCACTCACTCTTATAGGCTTACTGATGGCAAGTTTGACAATAAGCAGCACCACTGGATGGATTCATGGTGGGGCAGGAAAAGCGATAAGAATTTCAACAGAATTTTCAAATCTGGGATCCAATGATTCTGTAAGGGCATATGCCTCCAAATTTTACTGCAAGTTAAGTGCAAGGAACCGCCTTCCTGCTGATCTACACAACAAAACACAGTACCAAGTATTTAGCTTAAAAAAAAATTGCTCCTTGCCTCTTGTACAGCTTTCCCAAAGTCTCACAATGGTACTCATATTCAGTCCCAGATGTTACCCCCCACCATTTTATGAGTTGAGTCCTAATTGCTTTATCTACCCCCAGGTGCACTACCAAGGGGGGCATACCCTGCTTAGTATGGTGGAGTTAGTACCTTATGGAACGGATTAAAAATCTGCAGCTTTTGCCAGGTAAAGCAGAAAGTTAAGAGAGCAGGTGACTGGGAATTCCTTGTGCTACAGCCAACTTTGTTTCTCTTTCCGCCACCCCATGTCATGGAAGCCAGTCAAATCAAACCAATTTATGAAGCCTCTCCATCACCTCCTCACTCCCACCCCCTGCATTTGAATAACCCCTGTATGCAGCCCAAAGAGTCTGGAACCCAATACATTTGTTCACTGCCATTGAATCATGCATTTACTTACTCGGGGGGTTGCACATACGTGTTCTCACTTTCCTTTTAAAGGGGCTTATCACTACTATGGTTTCACTGTAGTACACTCAAGTAGTAGCATGTGCACAGTAATACTACAGCCAACCTCTATACTTTTACTCCACATTCTGCTAGTTTTCTTTGCCTTAGTGACAGCAATCAAGCAAGAGAGATTCTTAGCTTAGTTTTAGCAAAAAACAGTAGCTAATATGTTTATACTACTCTGAAGTGTCAGTGTGTATTAAAAATGAGTGCAGTCATCTGACAGAATACTTCTGTCTAATAACATCATGCCATATATTTGAGTACAATCACTGTGCCTTTCCTTGACGCAGCAAGGTAAGTCTCCCCAAAAGCTAAACATACAAAAAATCACCCAGCTGAGAAAATGCCTCAAGTGAAATCTATAGCTCTTCTTATTATATTAGGAAGGCTTCCACCAGATGTCAGCATAACAAGATGGCAATGTTAACCTCAGTGCTTTCTTTTTCTGATAAGTACCTTTAGCCACCAAGTCTAGTTCTTGGAAACAAGGATACTGGTTCAAAAAGTTCAGGGGTATTAAGTTTCTGGTATTACTAGTTTTGCCACTTATCTAGACAGAAGTGCTATTCCCTCGCACACCATTTTAGTTTCAACTTCAAGTACAGAAGTTGCCGAATGGTACTGTTAAACATAACCTTACAATGTTTTTTCTTAACATACAAGCAAGATTTCAATCTCCAAATAAATGCTGTATTGTTAGTTGTGCAAACAGCTGGAGTTTCTTCTCTGCCTACAGTTCCTAGTTAAGACAAAGCTGCTCTCTGGGAACTTGACATCGGTGCATGGGTTTCAATTCTTTCAGGAAGGCCTGTAAGCACACTATATGAACATCTCCAATCCACTAATGGTGCAAGGGGAAACAAATTCAGTTTAATTAAAATCCACAAATCCATTAACACTCGATTCACTAACATGCAAGGTGTTAAACACGCGTCACCGTCTGGCACAGGAGCAACGTGCTCTGCGCAGAAACAGGAAGCAACTTTGCTGCATTTGGACAGTAACTCTTCCAACATTAGAGTAACTTCACATATGAATACCATAAACTGGTACCATTAACCACACAATACTGATTAGAAAAGTAGCACAATTGCTCTAAAAGGGTTCTTGGGTTTGGGTAGTTGCCATCAACAGACAGAAGAGCAACAGTATCAAAACATCTTGACTATTCACTGCTATTAAAACACAGAATACCACACTTCTTAGCTTGCATTTCAGTTAAATTACAAATTACACATTTCAAAAGAGATTTTTCTTTTTTATCCGACTAGTCATATTATTATGTGTAGTGGGGTCCCTTAAGATAAAGAGCAATTAAGCTCTTAAGCTGGGTATTGTCTGGTATGCTTCTTGTTCAGTAAATACTGAACATGGAGATCACCATTTCTAAACAGGCTTGTATGATCTGTTTGTAACTAATGCTTTCAGCCTAAAACAAACAATAGCTTAAAATGTAATACTTTCAAGGCAGTATGATTTAGTTTCCTTTATCTCTGAAGATTATGTTTTATGGCTCTTCCTCACAGTCCAGCTTCTACTTGACATGTCAGTGAATTCACCTCTCCATTTAGTATAAATTAGGCTGCCAGAGAAATGATGGATCAGGGACAGTATTACAACATCACTGAAGGATCAGACAGAATGAAGCAGCAGGTAGAAAAGCAGCAAATCTTTGTTTAAGCAAAACTACTTCAGAAAGGTATCAACACAGACTAGAAAATATCTTTTTTCTTAAACCAGGGTATTAAATAGTTCCTTCTTATCCAACTCCCCGTAATCTCATAAAATGGGGTTACATTAGTTTTAAGGTTTTCAGACCCAGGATCTATGCACCAAAACCAATTTCATGCCATTGTTTTTCTTTTTTAAATACAGTAAAATGTATTGTGGGAAGAGGTGCATTTCCTCTTGTTGCACCATAGCCTCAAATCCCAGCATTGGGAGGGGAAAAAAAGTTTATTCAAGCAAACAGAAGTGGGAAGTTAGACAACTTTGTTTCCATTAATATGGCCACAGCAGCCATTTGAAGTCACACCAGACCAGACAAAGTCTATCAATTTATCCTTACCATGAGTCATCATGGAAAAGCGCTTTTTGTTGTCCTCTCAGTGGCTAATAAAATGATAAAAAGTTCCACAAGTACATCCTCGCTAAATATGGTTGAGTGGGTATGCTCCTGACAGACACCTAAGTCAGGAATAATGCAAACAGAGAGCTCTGCAAGCTTTCTGCATGCACCAATCCATCAATCATCTTCATTCAAAACATGTAACACTCCTATTATTCTGTTCAAGGCTTTCTTTAAAACAAGCTCCCAGTGAACCAACTAGTGTGTGCTTTTTACTATGAACAGAAGTTGGTGACAAAAAGTAACCCTTAGATACCTCATTTGACCTCAAATCAGATTTGAGAACCACATCCACCCACTTCAATGGCAAAACAAAACATGGGGGAAAGAAGACTCTCAGTCCCCTCCTCCATTCAAATGAGAAAAGTGTAATTTTGAAACCAGGGAGAGATCTAACTGGACATTTAAGGAAATGTCCTCTTATATTCCTATACAAACATAAGATTTATTTTTCCCCCCAGAGAGCATAATTTTGTTATGTGGTCATATGAACAGTTTCACTATGCTTCCACAATAATATCTGCAGCATCTACAGAAATCACATTTCTGTACTTTAATGAAAAATCACATTTCTAAGACAAGGAAGGAATATAGTGGCATACAGCTTTAAACTGGCCAGTCTCTTTTACCTCCTTGAATACTAATCAGCAGTCTAAGATTACCATTCAAACTGTACGTAGTCATGCCTTAAAGTTTTTTTGTGCGCAGAAAGATACAATATAAAACTGGTGGCAGCAAGCATTGAAGACACTTCACTCTTATAGCTGAACACTATTTTTTTGATGTTGTCTGAATACATCTAGAAAAGATCTAATGCAGAAAAAACTGATTACGAGCTATTCCTATTCCCTGAATGGTAGGGGCGAAGTGTTCCTGTAGTTGATTTTTCCTCTATCAGTAGTCTTTAACACGATCACAGCATGCATCACAATGCTTTAAAACAGCAAAGCTTCTGGAAAACCCAAACAAAAAGGAACGTCACTGGGTGACGTCAGCCTATATACAGTTCTGTGTGGTCGCAGCACATAAGCAAATCCATTCTTGTACCGTTTCCCTGAAAAGCTTTTCAGTAAATGCACTCATGCTACTACCGGAGCTTCTCTCAGCAATAAGCCGCCCATCTGCCATCAACAAGTTAGGACTAAAAGAACCCACAGCTGCGGAAAAAGAAAACGTGAGCTTCAATTAAACAGCTGAGCAGTCACAGGAGGAAAAACTTATATTAAGCATTGAATTACAGACCTGTCACAGGAAATCAAGCCAGCAAATTCAGAAGGAATATTTTAAAGAGAGCATGGTGGATTCATTTTTGCACTAATATCGAAGGACACTAGAAAACAGTAAATTATTCAAAGGCTGTCTCTTACATTAGAGCCTTTTACAGATTCACTGCGTTGAGTCTAAAACTACGACTGAATGCAACCTCCAATGTACTCAAAAGAATGGGTAAGTTTATACGTTTATATATATTCCATATGAAGAATGAACAGCTATGATTTAGAAAAACCACCTAGATACTAAACTATATATAGTTTCAGAACAGAACCCTCTAAAGGTAAAGGTATTTTCAGATTGTCACCTTTGTAATCTTTGGTAATGTAGATAAAGATCTCTCTCAAGGATAACAACCAAGTACTTGGTATTTTGTAAGTTAGTTCTTACATTTAGAATTAGCTTTTCAAAAATGCATGAAAATGTTATCTGCAGTGAAATCTTTCACTGTAATGTTTCAAGTGTACATTATCTGACAAGAATATCCTATCTTGTTGTTTCCCTAAATTATATTCTGCAGGCTTACATTTCAAGTGGCCATTAGGGGCTCCTATGCTGGCAGCACTATATGCAATGAGTATGGTTTTAAAAATGCTGCCTGCCTTGGGCATGGCATGTCCACCAAAATGTCGCTGTGAGAAGCTGCTCTTTTACTGTGACTCTCAGGGGTTTCACTCAGTGCCAAACACCACTGAAAAGGGCTCTCTAGGTTTGTCACTGAGGCACAATTATATTTCTGAACTTGAAAGGGATCAATTTGCAAGCTTCAGTCAACTTACTTGGCTTCACTTAGATCATAATCAAATTTCAACAGTAAGAGAAGATTCTTTTCAAGGACTGTATAAACTTAAGGAATTAATCCTAAGTTCCAACAAAATCTTTCACTTGCCAAACACAACTTTTAACCAACTGCTTAACCTGCAAAATTTGGACCTCTCTTTTAATCAGTTATCTTCTCTGCATCCCGAGTTGTTCTATGGCCTTCGTAAACTGCAAACCTTGCATTTACGTTCCAACTCCCTGCGGACTATCCCAGTCCGCCTCTTCTGGGACTGTCGTAGTTTGGAGTTTCTGGATTTGAGCACAAATCGCTTGCGAAGTTTGGCTCGCAATGGATTTGCAGGATTAATCAAATTGAGGGAGCTTCACCTAGAGCACAACCAGCTGACAAAGATTAATTTTGCTCATTTCCTACGGCTAAGCAGTCTGCACACGCTCTTCTTGCAGTGGAACAAAATTAGCAACTTGACATGTGGGATGGAGTGGACCTGGGGCACCTTAGAAAAGCTAGATTTGACTGGAAATGAAATCAAAGCCATCGATTTGACAGTTTTTGAAACAATGCCTAATCTTAAAATACTCCTAATGGATAACAACAAGCTAACCACTCTGGATTCCAAGATCTTAAATTCACTTACATCTGTAACTACAGTGGGCCTATCCGGCAATCAATGGGAATGCAGCCCAAAGATATGTGCATTAGCCACATGGTTGAGTGGTTTCCAAGGTCGGTGGGAGCACTCCATACTCTGCCACAGCCCAGACCACACCCAGGGAGAGGATATTCTAGATGCAGTTTATGGCTTTCAGCTTTGCTGGAATTTATCAACTATTGTTACATCCATGGCTACGACTTACAGAGTTCCAACTACAGAGTATACAAAAAGAATAAGCTCGTCTAATTTCCATGTGGGAGACAAAGAAATTCCAACTACTGCAGGCATGATCACTACCACTGAAGAAAATTTCCCTGAACCAAACAATGCCATCTTCACTCAGCGGGTAATTACAGGAACAATGGCTTTATTATTTTCTTTCTTTTTTATCATTTTTATAGTGTTCATCTCCAGGAAATGCTGCCCTCCCACATTAAGAAGAATTAGGCAGTGTTCAATGATTCAAAACCACAGGCAACTCCGATCCCAAACAAGGCTACATATGTCAAACATGTCAGACCAAGGACCATATAATGAATATGAACCCACCCATGAGGGACCCTTCATCATCATCAATGGTTATGGACAGTGCAAATGTCAGCAGCTGCCATACAAAGAATGTGAAGTATAATATCTACAAGTCATCAAAAATTAAACCAGATAAGTAACCTATTTTAAAATTGTAGGGGACCTACATAAAATTCTAATTTTTACAAATGCTGACATAAAGCCTAATTTTCCAAACTACTTAATGGAAACATTGTTTATGGAGTGGTGCAGTATTTTAAAGTTTTTTTTTAAAATAAACCCATAATATTTTCAGTGTTAAAGAAGCAATGATTACATTAAATTTGCACTCCTAATGTTTGAAAGTCTAAAAAGATGCTCACCTCAAGATATGTAAGATGTTTCATGTTATGTAATTATATGACTATGTGTAAACATTTATACTGAAGTCTCCATATTCTACTTTTTCTAATGAAAACAGTCTGAATGAAAGGAATATGTTCAGAGATCTGCAAGGGAACATGCATTACATTTGTTCCATTGTAGCTATTTGATCCCATACATTCCAGCTGGCTCAGTTTACTCTAAGGTACACTAGGAGGAACATTTTCCTTGTGTAATAATTTGACTCTTAAATATACAAACAGTTAATAGCAGGAGGTGTAGGAAGGGAATTTCAAATGTTTCAGATGCTGGTGAATTGGTTTTAAATATTGTTTTCCTACCTCTATATTGACAGTCCAGCTTGCCTAAATATACCTTTGCTAAAGATCATGACAAAATGCATAATGGAGCAGGTTACAAATTGACCAGAACCACACTTCAAATGCCTACAGAGTATCCAACACTGCTTATTTAGAAAGGCTCAATACAATGCAATCGACAAAATATTAAAAATGTTCCACTCTCGTTAGATCTCTGGTTCGACTTTATAATGGGCATACCTTTTCATGAATTGAAGAAAATTACTTAGGACTAGGAATGAATGATGTTTTAACAACTTCTTGCATGTAAATAGCCTAAATGCAAGTTTTAATTAAAAGTAAATATCAATTGTGGGGCAAAAAGGGGCCAGGGAGGGAAGAAGCCTCTCCTTTCCTTCTCCCCTAGCTGATGCTTCATCCTGCCTGGAAGCTATTTTCATGCACTAATGCGACTGGTTTCTCTGGAGACAGAATTAGCCCTTGCAATACGAGTTTTTTCTTGTCCTATCCTTCTGAAAGCTCCAAATTTTCCAATTTTGTGTTAGTTAGTAAAAGGCATTCATTTTTTGAACTGCCAAGGTGTTAGAGTATAATTACGAAGGAGCTTCCTAAAAGAGGTTTCATTTTCTACTTGATCAATATGAGACAAATTTAAGATGGTATACAGTTTTTAAAAGAACAGTTACTCCTTGCAAATCAATTTTTTATCCAGAAACAGCAAGCATTACTTGCACTGTCTCACAAAATTACATGAAAATATATGAAGATCTATACACCCAGTAAGGTGAAAAGGAAAAAAGTATGGTGTTTTTAAGATGACTGCTCAAATAACAAATATTAGAGAGAGAGAGAAAAACAGTTACAAGCATAAACAGCTAAAGAAAGGAAATTCCTCAGTCTTGACGTACCTTGAACTAATCAGTAATTACAGTATGTTAATTGTGTGTTGCAGTAAACTATTCTGCAAACTTTTCAAACAGATAATCACTGCATAAAAATCTGTTTATTTTTCCACTCTGCTTTTATATTTTCATATTACCACTTAGCAAGGTATTTAAGGCACAATTATACAATGTTTTGATATTTTATTGAGAAGAACAGGTCTGAGATTACTATAGCAAGATAAGGAAGGCTTTAGTTAAGATCTTTCATAAAGCTCAGTGAACTACTGTTTTGGAAGGCATCTATTTATTAGAAAATGTTTATTTTTCTTCCTTGGTCTCCTTGACTGTATGGCTTCAGTAAAGAGTAGGATTTTCCAAAAAGATACCTTTATTTAAAACCCCAAGCCATTCAGCATTAGAGTGTACACTGACTCTTTTGCATCACAATTGTCCCAAGAAAGGAACTACTTTTACCATATTAAAGATGTTTGATGTATGTAGGGGGGAAATAGTGGGGATGCTCTAAAGCAGTGATGCTCAAACTATCTGGTCTACTGGGCTGGAGGAATGGGTCAGGGCCAGTCCATGGGCCTGATCCAGCAGGTGCCAATGCACTGGTGTTCCCTGACACCCTGGATCTGGTTTTAGAAGCAATTAAAGCTGCTACCTCTCCACCACCACCAAATTTCTGGACTTGTGGGGAACCACATGGGTCCAGTACACAATTCAGCATGCCATATCTGGCCCACGGGCCAGAGATTGTGTACGACTGCTGTATAGCATTTAAATTCTGCATGCACCAAGAGACCACATCTCAGTTGAAAAAGGAGCTGTTTACTGACAGCAGTGTATTAACTCTTTATGGCAAGATTTATTTCAGTCCATGCAAATATTAATGTTTGTGGTCTCCTGTTTGTATCAAAACTTCTGTCTCACTTTCTCATATATGAACATAAATCACTTCATATCATCTTAAGAATCTGAGCATGTCTATGCTAGCCCAATAGCTTATTTCACTCTATATGGTAGGATACATTACTGAATATTAGAGGGGAAGTTAAAAGTGTTAATTTTCAGGAAAACCTTTGACAAGTCCAACTTAAGTGCAGATAATCTTAATCTTTAAATTAAGATTATTTGTTTAGTAACTAAATTCACCAATTATTCCAGCAATAGCTGTCACATGATTTTGCTGCAATGTTATAACAACTAGAAGGACAAAGCTAAATTCTACTGAAGCGATCTGCTTCCCCCCTCCTCCACCCCCTACCCTAAACACACCCACAATGTCCACCTTTTACTCAGTAATATCCATTGTGCACTATGGTTTTAAAGCCAACTGCTGGTCTTCCTCCATTGTGTAAAGGGAATATGCAGCTAGGGCTGCCATACTAATTCCCAAGTATGCAGCTGTGCTGTATTCACACAGCACACAAGAGCCAGTTGGACCTTTACCAGTCATCCCATATTTAGCACAGTTTGGAGTCATGATAAAGGCAGGCTGGCAAGCTTCTCACCTGTCCATTAGCATGCTAGATCTAAAACTCTTCTGTTCACTTCCCACCCCCGAGTCCCAATTGTGTTTCTTCTCTCAGTCTGGACTAGAATTTCTATACTCTCCTAGAGTCCATACCTACAAAAAACACATTCCATCAATGCCTTCCTCTTTTGAACCAGTGCTTGTGGGTACAGCCTTTGCCTGCAGATGCAAAGCACCACCACACAGCCTAAAAATATGTAGAGAAGGTAAGATTTATCAGCTTGTACATCACCCACTTGCATTCAGCTGCTCTCTCAGCTCGTTTGGTTTATATTTGCCATCCAAATAGCATTTATCCTTTGATTCAAAAAGCCAATAACCACTGTTTAGCAAATGATTGTTTGGGGTTCAGACATAAGACAAAGCAATGCTGGTTACATCCAACATTGCAAGCCTTGTGAATGTAGATGTCAGATGATGGCAAGCAAAACTAGCTAGATTTTCTCAGTAATCAGAAGTAAACAGTGAGCTATGCTAGCCTCTCATGCAAGGACACACCAGAAGGAGCACTTCTTCATGACTTGTTCAAACACATATTTGGTTTTCCATTCTTCATTGCTCATGGCTTCTTCATGGAGCAGAGCTGGCAAGAATTCTTCTGTTTGGCAAATACAGATTGTTTTGATTTCATAAGGGGTATAAGCCAACACCGTTTGGTTGAACTTCCTTCCTTAGCTGTGTGGCAGTATTAGCACAGAGGACAACAGGCTCTTGATCTGCACCCCTCTATCTACTATGTAGGAGGTAGTACAAAAGTCTAGTGACTTAATTAGACAGACTGAACCACCCCAGCTCCCAAAGACTAACTGGCATTTTGGGTGCCTCATACTTTGATAGGCAAAAACGTAAATTGTGTGTATCCATTTCCTACCCCCTCTTTGTGAACATTTCTTTTGCCATTTTTAAGATTACTTCCCCAGCTTACTCCCCTACCGTCAGCTTCATTTTTCACACATTTTTTTCCAATGATTCCCTGGGCCCCCAATTTCAAGCTAAGCTAAAAGCAAACACAACAGAATCTGGGTCTTCAAAATACATAAATAATCATAGTCTTAGAGGGGTTTGAAAATAAATGGGACATGCCCACTCATCTGTCTAAATATTTGCAGTAGTGTGCATTTTCGAAAAGCATTTAACTCTGAAGAATTGCCAGTTAAGTACGATGGGTGAACTCTGGCTCCCAGACTACCTGATGCCATTTAAATTGGGGGGCAGGGCGGAAATGACACTTATCGGGCATCTAATTTGCAGCAACTGAAAACAATCTGAAAAATCCTCAGAAGACAAACAAACCCTGCTAAAATACTTGAAAGCAGAAAAGCTTGATTGCTTTTTAAACCAGAAATCTATATTAAAAACACCTGTTTTTTCTTAATATGCCTATTTTAATTCCTGTACTAGTTTAATCAAAAGCAAGTTGATTTAATTTTGTGATTTGAGCAGCTATTAAAATCCATCTGTTCATATTTAACTAATCCATTCAGATAGCTGGATTTCATCTTTCATGCAGGATTTCTTCACAATAAAAAACTTCAGAGAAATGGAGTATTACGTCTCCCATTGATTAAAAGAGAAAATCCCACTTAAACTTATTAATAACAAGCCAGTCATTCCAATTCTCCTTTCTGCTCCTAGAACTGGGATTTGCCCATAAGGTGAAGCTGACTGATACCAAGCTTTTGCTCTCTAAACATCATCCACTGGCTGCTAGTAACAGTTAAAATAATAAATTTAATATCCTTTATTAAAACACCTAGAGAGAATCTAGAAGGAGGTAACAGAAGCTTTGTGGCTATAACCAAACCTTACCTGTCTTACATAGGGCAAATTCATGCCAAGTCAAGGCAAAATGACCAATAATAAGCTTGTATATCTGTGATGTACAGATATACAAGCTTATTATGGAATGGAGCCTCAAAGGCTCCATTTGTTATACTTTCAACTAAATTTTTTTCATCATAGCAAAAAAGATTTTTAAAACATGATGAAGTGAATGTTTCCATCAGCATTGAAACCAGAGATTAAGAAAAAGCAGAGTCCTGACCGCATTGTATTTAAGTCATATTTAAGAGCCATTTTTTGGTGGGAAATACATAATGGAGTAAAATGAAGTGCAGTGTACAGAAAATTTGTTATTAAATTGTGTATACTGTAAAACTGAAATTGCCTCTTTATTCCTTTTTCAAACTTTCAAATAAAATATCAAGAAATGTCAAAAATCATTTCATAGCAATATACAAAATTAGCATTCACATTCATTCCTAAGAGCACATCAACAATACTTCAAAGCCGACTGCCTAGATGCCTCGAGAC